TTCCTAAAATCATGTTCTGTTACTCCCGTATCTCCTTTAAAACCTTAATCAATTCCTTTCCTGAAGTCTTTCTGTAATTAGGTGTGGAGTATCTGCTTTTTATTCATTCATTCAGACAACAGACATTTTCTCTGAGAAGTCTCATTTCTCAATTCCAATTTCGGCTTTGCAAGCAAGCCTGCTATTTATTCCTGGGACTGATCGATGTCTCTCAATTTAATCCTTAAATAATTATATTCAAACACCCAAAGAGCACAAATGTAGCAGCCTAACTATTTAACTCAAATTCTAAATCACTAGTTATTCATGCTGATGGTTGTAATGAGTTTTTAGAGCATATATTATCATTATTTAACACACCAGAAAAGTGTCGGCATTTCCTTTTCTTGATAAATCAAAGAGGACCCTTCTGCTGACCCGAGTGAGCAGGTGTCCCGGGCCTCTCTCCTCCTTAATGTCAGCTGAGAAAGAGAATGAAGAGCAAGGCAGGACCTAATGACCTGGGTTTCTTTCTACTTTTTCATATTGCCCCCTACCAGGCTTAGTTGGCAAGATAAACAGAGAGCTGTTTGGGGGAGGAAAGGGTACACGTGTGCAGGTATGTGGTATGTGTGGTGCATGTGTGTATATATCTGTTTATTTATTGGTGTGTATGTGTATGTAGGTATATATGTGTGTGTGTGTGTGAGTGTATGTATACATGTGTATGTATGTGTATATGTATGTATTATGTATGCATATGACAACTTGAGGTAACTTTCCTCAGATTCCACAAACATTGTTTTTTTGAGGCAGGGACCTGGAGCTTACTGATTCCAATAAACTGTCTGGGCCAGCAAGCCCTAGGGATCTGCATGGCTCTGTCTGCTTAGAACTGCAATTACAAATGTACACCACCACAGCTGGTTTTTTCCATGGGTTCTGGAGATGGAATGCTTGTACAGCACGTACTTTACCAACTGAGCCATCTTCCCAAACATCAGAGTTATTTTCTGGGAAAGAAGCTATGAGAGCAGGGACACTCTTCAGGACACACATGCACATGTATACACATAGACACACACACAGAGATACATACAGAAATACACAGAGTTGCACACATGTACAAATACATACATACAGGCACACACGTACAGAGCAACACATTCACAGGCATACATGCACATGTACTCACAGACACACATGAATGTACTTCACACACATACCTGTACACGCACACCATACATAAGACACACACACACACACACACACACACACACACCCTAGTACTGCTCCCTGGCCATACCTCGTGGAATTTCCCCACTGTTCATACTGGATGTGCTGAGGATGCACATGGGGTTTACTGCAGAAAGCAAATCGTGACACAATGAAGACTGGACATTAGGTTAGGACGTGATCCTTGGCTTTGTACTTCTCTCACTAAAGAATGCCTTTTGTCCCTAGATCCTGCCCCTTCCTGCCACCTCACCATGTCTGGTCACTGGCTCAGAAACTATAGGACATGGGACTAACTAATCCCAAGGGACTCCAACCCAAACACTACTTTCTTCTCCATCTGTCTAAAGGTTGGCATTTGATCAAAAAATTAACTGACGCAGGAGGACAGTTGACCAGAGTGTGCAGCACCTTCTGGCAGAGGCCAACATATAAAGAGGCCTGAGGGAAAGCTGCTGCCTTTCCCTGCTGGCCATCCTTGCTGGTGTGTGCACCTACTTTGTTGCTGCCAGGTGCCACCAACCTTCACTGACAACAGAACCCAACGTCTCCAGCCTTCCAACATAGACTGAAGACCAGCGGCTCTCCAGGAATCCTCTAGGCCTTCAGGGCCAGAATGGGACTGCTGCAACATTCAGCTTTGTCAACTAAGCAGCTGCTGGGCGCTCAGCCTCTCCAGGGTGCAGACAACCATTGTTGGAGTACCTAGCCATGTGGTGTAAGCCAATCTAATTGTAATAATATTCATTCTATCAACTCTGCTCCCCTAGAGATCCCTGCCTAATATAGCCAGCTTGCAAACAAGCTTCCTCTTTTCTTAAGCTCACTGCTTTGCTGACTGGCATAGAGCAAGTACTACAGGGGAAAATGGCTTGGTTTGCAGCATTAGCATAGCATTTAAGTGAGTCGAGAAGGAGAACCTGGGCTGGGGATGGAACTCAGTGATAGACTGCTTGGCTGGCATGGCCAGGACTCTCAGTTTCATCTCTTGCACTGAAAAAAAGAAAGAAGGAAGGAAGGAAGGAAGGAAGGAAGGAAGGAAGGAAGGAAGGAAGGAAGGAAGGAAATAAGAAGAAAAGAAGGAAGGAAACTCATTCAGAGCAGCACTGAGTCCACTGAGGAGGCACCTTGTGCAAAGCCACCCTCCCAAGCTGATGGAGTCTATGGACAAGAAGCTGTCATTGAAATTCATTGATGGCTCACAGGTCAAGGACTGTTGCTAGAAGCTGATCCCCTGCCTGAGTCCTGTGATCAGTAAGTGTGGGAAGACAGCTACGAGGGGGCAGAGAATAATACTGGAAATGGTGGCCATGCAGAGAGATAGCATCATCGCTCTAGAAGTTGTGCAGCAAGTTTGAATAATGGCTGTTCAGCAATGAACCCACCACCTTCCCCAGGGAGCCTGCAAACTACGATGTAAAAATTTGATTGTGAACATCTTCATCTTCTTCAACTTTTTTTCTAAAAGATAGTTGCAAAAGTCAAAGAAGCTGTGGGGACAATCCTCCTATTAATGGCTTTTGTATCAAAGGCTGAATAGCCCAGCATATGAATGGCCAGGCTTTGGCCACGTTGGCCTTTCCCTTTCACCGTAGCTGTTTTCTAAAATATGCCACCTCAGCTGGGGATGAGCTGCTTTTACCGTATTTATATTATTTACTCCCCTCACTTACTATAAACAAGGTATGTGCGTGTGCGTGTGCGTGTGTGTGTGTGTGTGTGTGTGTGTGTGTGTGTGTGTTTCTGTGTCCAGGTGCATGTGTGTATGCAGGTCTGTGTGCACATATGTGTGTGTATATGCAAGCCAGAGGTCAACCTCAGGTGTTGTTCCTCAGGATGCCATCCACCTTGTTTCTCCAGACAGGGTCTCTCACTAGGTGGGACTGGCAGGTTTGGCTAGGCTGGCTGGCCAGCAAGCCCAGGAATCTGCTTGTTTTCATCTCCCTAGTGCTGGGATTACAAGCATGCACCACCATATTTGGCTTTTTTATGTGGGTTCTGGGGATTGAGCTGAGGCCCTCTTTCTTAGATAGCAAGCATTTTACTACCTGAGCGGTCTCCTCGGCCCTAATTCAGATTGTTTTAACTCACGCAACATCAGTCAGGAGCCCATCCCTCAGTCAAAAGCCATCTTCAGCCATGCCAGCAAAGCTTGGAGTCTTTTCCAGCTACTTGTAAAATTGTTCCCAATAGCCATCTTCCCCACTCTGTAACAGATTCTGTATTCAACAACACAGAGATGACCTCTCCTTCCCAGGACGATTCAGTAACTGCCAAGATTAGATTCATCTGTCCCCCCAAACTCTAGTAAAAGTTATAAAGTTATAAAAGAGAATCCAAGCTAAGATGAGCCAGTGTAGAAACAATGAGACATTTAAGTATAAATGTCATGGTTTTGTTACAAAAAAAAAAAAACAAGTTTGTAGCGGCTTTAGAAGAAATTAGTTGGGAATTTAGAATAAAACTATGAGAAATAAGTCTAAGCAATTTAACAAAAATTGGCATTTTTATCTGAAGCACAAGTCTTGCATTTCATCAAACTTTTCCTTGGAAGGTCATTAAGTCCTGCCTTATGAAAACCATGGAAACCTGATGAACTATTGTTCTTGGCTTGTTTGCAGGAAGCCCTGAGGCTGCCGCACAGGGCGCCTCATCCCGGCAGTGCTTGAACTTGGTGATCTTTAATTTGGTTTTTGCAAACAGATAGTCCAAAGAAAGTCCCCTCTTCCCTTCAGTGGATGTATTCTTTTCCCTCTTGCCTGGACTGTGATGTCAGCTCTCAGGGACCGGAGCTGAGGAACTCACAGGGATTAGCAAGGATGAGTGGATACGGTGAGCAGAGAGGCACAGGAAAGTCTCAGTGCATCTCCAATAGTGCTCTGCTTAAATGTCTTCCATGCTGTTGTCCTTCATAGCCTGCCCCAGTGCTGATGCTAGAGATGAGGGAATTCCCCATTAATTGCATTTCAGTGAGCACCCCCATCTCCTTCCTCTTCAGTGCTGCAGGACAACCATGCCTGAGAAGCCTAAAGTACTGTGTCACCTACTTCATGCTGCCCATGTACTGAGTCAGTCTGCCTTGGGATGGCTAGCCTGCAGTATGAAGGAGAGCAGGTCCAAACATGTGAATACAGCATCAAGCCAGGGGGTGTGGCTCAGTGATAGAGTGTTGGTCTGGCACGTCGGAAGCACTAGATTCAGTCTTCAGCACCATAAAAAATAAAATAGAATCAGCAACATCCACAACAGAACAACCTCATAAAGTTCTCACATTCACCTCAGAGTCCTGACAGCAGCCACTCAGCCTTACACCTCTGCTTGTGGCTCAGGTCAGTCACCAACAAGGTGTGTAGGGGGGAGGGGTGGCAACAAAAGGAAAAAGTTAATTTAGAAGAAATTTCAAGGGCTGGGAATATAGCTCAGCTGGTAAGATGCTTGCCTTGCAAATGTGAGGGTCTGAATCCCCCAAACCCATGTAAAAGGCCAGGTATGGTAGCCTGGCATAAACTCAGTGCTGGGAAGGCAGAGACAGGACGATCCCTGGGGCTCACTGGCCAGCCAGCCTAGCGTGTTTACCAATCTTCAGCCAGCGAGGGACCTTGTTTCAAAGAAAAGAAAAAAGACAGCTGTTTCCTGAAGAATGATACTCAAGGTGGACCTCCAGCATCCACATGCAGGTATACACATACACAGACAAGCACATACACGCTTCAAGAATTACATGAGAACTGCAGACCAAGCAAAAAGAAGAGACTTCCTCTGAGCATCTGGATGGAAAAGGAGCACAGAAAGCTTAGCAAAGTTAAGGCAAAAAGACCCCATGCATGACACTACCATGGGAGGAGGAGACAGAGAAAAAGACTGCGGAAGTGGAGGGTCCTGCCAGAGAGGAGAGAAGCCGAAGGAGGTCAAGTCCTTCTGTCTTAAAGGGTAGATAGTCCCCCATCTCATCGTCCCCTACCTGTTTCAAGTCTCTTGCTTAAAGTTATTTAGTTAAAAACTTTAAGACATCAATCACAAAGTCAAGAGAATGTCCACCTGAGCAAGCCCACAGCAGTCCTGCCAAAAGCCTAAGTTGTGGGGCTCTCCTTTGGGGAAGGTGAGGCTAGCCCAGAAATCATACAATTTGTTTCTAGTTTTGCAAATAAGAAAAAAACAGAAATTTATTCAAAATGGTACAGTCACCGTAGCCTGGCCATCTTCAGACTCCTTCCATTACACTCCTTCCCCAGGACTCGGATTTCTAAGGAATAATAAGGCAAATAGAATTAGGTAGCGCATAACCCAATTTCTCATTTCTCAATGAGATCAGGAAAGGAAATGTGAAGTCAGGATGTGCGTGACAAGAAGATAAGGCAGCTCAGAGGAGCCCCATAGTAGACAGGAGTTTGTGCTGATGTCCATCAGGGAGGCGACATCTGTCCAGTCCAGGGAGTCTGGAACAGGTGCAGGAAGGACTGAGCCTCACAGTTGTTTGAGGATCACCATGAAGGTCCAGAGCAAGTTGCATCTGTCTTTCCAAGGGAGGTGTGTAGAAGAGGGTTGTTTACTCATTGGGTCAGCAACTCTTCATTTTCCCAGCTCTGTGGGGTTCCCCTGGTGTAGAAACACAAAGAATGTTGACTTGAAAATTCTAGAAGACTCCGTGGGAAGAACAAATCAAACCATTTAATTATTGACAGTATAGCTTAGTAGTGGATCACTTGCCTAGAATGCATGAAACCCTGGGTTCCATCCTGAGCATCGCATAAACCAAGTGTGGTGGTGCATGCTATAATCCTAGTATTCCTTGGTCCCATGGCGAGTTCAAGGCCAGCCTGGGATACACGGCTCTCTCTCTCTCTCTCTCTCTCTCTCTCTCTCTCTCTCTCTCTCTCTCTCTCTCTCTCTCTCTCTCTCTCTCCTCTCCTCTCTCTCTCTCCTCTCTCTCTCATAAAAGTCTAATTATTGACAAGAATGATTATATATTAGCTAGACCTCTTACTACAAGTTAAAAAATTCCCAACTAATTAGAACTACTTTTCATCCAGAAAAAGAGGAAAGGGAAATTCACTGCTAGAATACAAACCACCTTAAGGGATTCAAAGTAAGGCACCTTTGGCTTCAACAGAGATTGGCAGTCCCTAGAACTTTCTATTTCCTCTGCCTGTTGGGCTCTGTAATGTTAATTCCCCCACTTCTCTCCCTATTCTGACTGCCTCTATCTCATTGACCTCCTCCTTGCTCTCAAGCCCAACATCACAGCACCCCCATAAGTAGATACTGGTTGGCAGGTCCTAGTGCCCAACAGCACAGGACTAGCAGAAGCAATAAGCTCATTCCAGAAAGACTCCAGGGTCTAGCTCTGGCCTAAATGGCTATGTCCAGGAAGGGTTACACTGCACAGTGAGATGGAGCTAGGACTAAGCAGGCCAATCTCAGAACAGTGGTGCTAGGAGAGCCCCTGGCAGCTACTGTATATTTATCTATGTCACCCGAGGCTGAGAATCTTGGATAGATTCTAGGCCAAACCAAACAGTTTGTAAATAAAAAATTCCAAGTTTCCAAAAAGTCCAAGTTTATAAAACCTACACATTGCAAAGTTGGATTCATCCATCGTCCTCCTGTCCTGTCATTTTTTCCTTCAGCTTCTCTGTGTCTGGCTTGGCCTGGCGCATAGAAGACAGAAGCTTTTGGTCCAGGCAAGATCTCCACCTTTGGAATCACAGTGACACTGAGGAAAGAACACACAAAGAAATAAACTGTTAACCTTGGTCAGGACTGAGAAAGCTATATGGTACCAGTTCTTTTTTGCTGCTGATGCCATTGGCCAGGTCAAAAGAGTAGATCCCAGTACTGGCCCTTCAACTTTGAAGAAAGAGGACTCGAATCCAAAATAAACACGATGACACTCATAATTTTACCAGCCAGAATAGCCTGTATATACCCTATGTGCCTCTTATCTTCTTTGTGTCACTTTAACTTTTTTGAGATAGGGTGTCGTGTAGCCCAGGCTGGCTTCAAACTCACTATGTAGTCCAGGAGGAGCTGAACTTCTGATCTTCCTGCCCTCACCTCCTGAGTTCTGGGATTATAAGCAATCATTACCACATCCCATTTATACCACGCAGGGCTTTATGCATACTAGGTGAGCACTCTACCAACTGAGCTATGCCCCCAGCCCCACTTCTAGTATCTTGAGAGGTGGTTTGAAAGCGCTGGTCAGTCTACAGAGTCCTCAAACCATTCTGGCTGATTTGTCCATCCTCTCGTTAGATTCTGTTTGCGTCAGAAGTTCTTGCTGAAGGTTTGAAAACCGTGGAGCTACTTGTCAACTCAGAATAGACTGTCTTTTTCAGAGATACTCACAGAACAGCCTCCTAGATCTGTGCAGACATTCGTCACTCTTCAACTAGCATACTGTGGAAAGTGTAAAAGCCTATGAAAAATCAAGATGACTTGGGCTTGGCTCAGCCCTTGTTGGAGTACGACCATCACATGTCTTCACTTCTCTTGTTCATGTGGAATTGTACTCTGGGGACACTTTCTTCTGCTCTTTTCTCCTTTCCGCTAAAACCATGTCAACTTCAAAGTCTCCAACTGCCTTTCTTCTCGGGGTTCTCTTCATTTTCTGTGTCACTGTTCTCTTCCATTCTAACACAGTTCTTTTTCAAAATAATGTGTTCCTAACCTTTTCTTCCATTGCACAAAACGCAAATGGAATCAGAAGAAAAATAAATAAGTCCAAAATAGCATCCCTCCATTTGTGCCATTTTATATGATTATAATATGCTAGAAATGTCACTATAATTATAGCAACAAATTATTTCAACAATCCTCAAAGTGATGCTATTTATAGACAACTGGGGATGTATGAGGATGAATTCACTGTGGGAGAAGCCCTGCTCACAGACGTGAGCCTGGGCCTGGGCCACCTGGCACCACGTAGAAACACCATAAGTCTACTCTTAAAACCAGAACGTGAGAGATGGCATAATTCAATGGACACATTTAACCACTCCAGCTAAGAATTCCCTCTGAATATCTAGTGTGTTAGGTTTACATACAACCAATTACCATCACCATTCACCTCCCTCCTGACCTGCAGGTCAGAGAGATGACAAGAGAGCAATGCTTGGTTCAGGAAGAAAGTCAGGTGCCCACAGATGCTTTGTCTGTGACCATTCCTGGCAACGCAGATGCGAAAAGCACACCCGCGGTTGGTCTGTGCCATGCTTTCTTTTTGCATTTCACCTTGAGCGAGGGAAAAGAGCTGGGAGGGATCACTCCTTTGTTACTGAGTCTCCCATCTCTTATTTTTGGTCTCTTTCATCTTACGGGTTTTATATTGTTTTGCTTAACAAAGCTGTAAATTCAGGGATGGGGAAAGTTTCACAGCGCGAAAACTTCAACCCAATGCAGAGAACTCTGCTTGGAGTGGGGTTTGGAGAAGAGGGAAAAAGAAATTAACCAAAAGGAATTCCTTAGTAAATCACAGTTGTGAATTCTGCATATCTGTTAAAGTACACTCCCCCTACAACCTTGCTGTGTCCCTGAGCAGAATTGTAGCAGTGCCATTTGGGGTGATGGGTAAGCAGCTAGCCATATCCACCCAAGAACCTGACCGTGTGACTCTGGGATGCCTCTCAAGAAACTGAATATCAGCTATCTTTGCTTGCAATGGTAACCCTAGATTTGACATTTTTCAGCTAACCAAAAAACAATGGCCCTAATTTTTCTACCTCGGTTGTGCAGGGGTGGGGGTGTTTCTATGGTTAAATGTTTACCCGTCATTTTAGGTTCCAACAAAGAATACTTTGAGGAACCTGGGGGCATGACACAGTCAGAACAGTACCTATTATGCAAGCACAAGTACCTGAGTTTGATCCCCAGTGCCCACGTGAATGCTTGTTGCCTGCTTCAGTCATCTAGTGCTGGGTGAATGGAGAGGGGAGGGTCCCTGGAGCTCATTCGCCAGCCAACCTAGCCAAATTGAAAAACTCTGGGTTCTATGAGAGACCATGTCTCAAAATATAAAGTGGAGAACCATTGACAAAGACACTCAGTATCTATCCCTGGCCTACACACACACGGGCATTAACATATACATATAACATACACACACAATCTTTTTCCACAGTAAGTCTCTTTGGTAGGAATTATTTATTACCTCTAGTCTCTAAGAGTAAATTTGCCATTAGGTGTTAGGCGCCTACACAGAGTGTAGACTAATTTGGGCACAAAGCAGAACTTCGGGTGATAGTTGCCTAGTACCCAGACAGTGACAGGGTCCCCACCTCATGAAGAGGGCAAGTGCAGAGAGGGGCCTTTGAGGCAAAGGACAATGATGTCAAAGTTAGCTGCTGTTTTCTTCTGATCTATGTGAGTAACAATCCTACAAAGAAAAACTAACAGGCTGAGTGGCGTGTGCAGCATCGACCGCAGTGGCGGGTCCATTAGGAGCAAGTAAACACATTAATCATGAGAGTTTGAAACTCATCCCAGAGACTGCTGCGTTGTAACTATGGATAAGAGAAATGAGCCACTGCACTGACAATAGCTATACACGTGTAGAAGGGTACCAAGCTGCCCCTCTTGGTGTGGATGGGGGATGGACTGGCCAGGATGCTGTGATGTCATGAGTCGCGTTGGAGGGAAGAGGAGGTGTATATTGTTTGGAGACAGCAAGATGTTCTCTGGCATGCAACCACCCAGTTTATGAGGCAGCTCCAGATGGGTCCTAAGAATAGGACTTTGAACACACCACTGTGTGGAAGTGCTACCTGACAGCAAGGAAAGGGCCCTTTCACTAAGCTCATAATGCACCCATTTATGTGACCAACTGACACCAAGGGCTGGGGATAATTTCACAAAAAGGAAAAAATTTAGCTGCCATGGAAACCTGGACAGCGACAGATCTTCTGGATATGACAGGATTCCAGACTGGATTGTATAAAGTCTCCATAAGGCCAGAAAGCACCGTGGGTTTAATTAGTTAGTGAAGCCTGTCGCACAGGCGGGCACCAGCATTTGTCCTTTATTTTCTTTCCAAACGAGCCATGCACCACCAGCCCGGCATTCCCAGAAAAGGAGTGATTTTAGTTAAGCACATGATTGCAAAACAATGTCACACATGGGAAATCCCAAATTTAAATTCCCTCACAATTCCACATCCAAATGAGTTGTGACCACTGGAGGATGTGTGGAGAACAGACTCCAGGACGTCACTCCAAGCACCCAGTCTTCAAACATTCCCATAGTCACAGACGCCAAGATTAGCACCTTCTAATTTTAGTAGTCTATGAAGACAACTTTAGTATGGGAACCCCTTTCATCTTATTAATCAAAATATATTTGGAAGAAAAAGTGCATATGCCATTTCACCAGTTATTAAACAAAGCAAATTTCCACAGAGCAGATTGCTATGGCCATAGGCAAAGTGTAGGAGGAGCATTACAGGTATCCAAACATCTCTAAAGTGGCAGGATTTATGAGGCTGTTGCACATGTGTCTCACCTGGGTGTCTTGGTTGTGTTTTAGACCATTGTCCATATTATCTTTTTAGAATGTTTCAGGTTAGATTATAGTTTAGTGGTAGAGTATTTGTCTAATATGATGATTAATCTCAATTGTCAACTTGATGAGGTTTAGAATTGCCATGGAAACAAACCTCTAGGCATGGCTGTTTCCAGAGAGGCTTAGCTGAATGTGGGTGGCACCATCCTGCAGCCTAGCTCGGGTCCCAGACTGAGTGTAAAGGAGAAAGGGGCCTGAGGACCAGCATTCGTCTTTCTCTGCCTCTTGACTGGATGTAATGTGACTGGCTGTCTTGGGCTCCTGCCAACATGACTTCCCTGCCATGATGGACTGCGCTCCCAGACTGTGAGCCAAAATAAACACTGCCTTCTGTAAGTTGCTATTGTCAGGTATTTGGTCTCAACAATAAAGAGAAATAATTAATTAATACCCAGCATATGTGAAACCCTGGGTTACATCTCCAACAGTGGGGGAAAAAAAAACTAGTATTTTTCATGACTGACATTGCCAACTCCTGTGCTCTCCTTGCAGCACCATCCACAGGGTCCTCCTCCATCTCTCTATCTGCAGGAAACTGTGGCACCTTCCAGACTCTCCATAATTCTAAAATGAGATTCAGTTTTCAAACTTTAGATTTCAACATTGTCCCGTTTTATACCTTTCTCCTGTTCAATGAGCTACACTGCCTTGCTCCAGGCCCAGGAATGTGGAACTAAGGGAGCACAGACAGACTCCTCCAAAACTGAGCCAAAATAAGCCTTTCCTTCCTAACAACAGTGATCAAAGATGGAGGCAATTTCTTTATATTTTATTGGTGTGTATGTTTCTGTATACTACATGTGTGTGCATACATGTTCACATAGGGTATATGTGTGGATGCGTGGAGGCCAGAAGGGCATCATTCCTCAGATTTTGTCCATGTTTTCTTTTCCAACAGTGTCTCTCACTGGTCTGGAACCCCCCAAGCAGGCTAGCTGTCTGTCCAGTGAGCCCCAGGGATCTGTCTTTGCCTCCCCAGCACTGGAGTGTACCACCACATCCAGCTTTAAAAAAAAAATTTATTTTATTTTACGTGTATGAATGTTTTGCTTGTATATATTTAAGCGTACCACATGTGTGGAACACCCACAGAGGCCAGAAGAAGGATTCAGATCCCATGTAGGTGCTGAGAGCCGAACTTGAGTCTTTTTCAGGAAT